TTCTGAATGATGATTAACTTTTGCCAGTGTAGAGTACGCTGCTGTCGTTATCCTATTTATATGTGCTTCAGGAGATAGATTAGGTATTACATCCACGCCCAGGTCTCTTTCTCACGTCGTCACAGGTAGGCAGTTTCCCTTCATTATGTACTGTCCTTTTGGTCTCCTATCACCTAGTCCCATTTCCATAACTTTACATTTGCTCATGTTGAACTCGAATAGCCATTCTCTGACCATCTCTGCAACCTGTTCAGGTCCTCTTGGAGGATCCTTAGTATCCGTCAGTCTGGAAGAGATTCAGCCAGCCTCAAAGAGTGTCCGTCAATCAAGAAGAGATTCAGCTATTCTTGAAAATATCTATGGAAAACACCACCATGGAAGCCACTAACACTGTTCATCTATGAACCTTGTATCAGATGCATCATCACTGAACGCAGAAAACGATTCATCTATGTATCATCTAAATAAATTGGATATAGCATAGGATTGCAAGGGTGGCGCTCAGAGCCACAACTGGATATGCTCGCTGTATCGTCCTCATAGGTGCTGTACCACTTGCATCCGACCTTTGTGTTAGGTCCTTATTGTGCCTAGCTTCACCAATATTATGACCTTTATGGTCATCAAACAATGAGGTTTGTTTTTCACCGACAGAGCACGATCTTTCAACACTGCGTTGGACAGGTGTTTGGGAGCCAGGGCGCGTGCACCACCCATGGTTGCTCACTCAATACTAACCCAGCCAGCAGTCCTAGGGCATTCTGGGAATTTTTTCCAAGATGGCTGCCTCTCACTGGAGGTCCTAAGAGTCCATTTTGTACACAACCAACCTCGCATTCATTTAGAATGGGTATGAAAAAATCAAAAATAGTTTTCTCGGTTGGCGCAGTTTCCCACCGACCGAGAATACTCGGTTGGCGCAGTTAAGTGGTTAAACATCACCCTTAAGGGGCGGTTCTTGTCTCTCATATTTTCCTATCCTCCTAAAATCACTGACATGTTCTTTTGAATTTAGGCCTTCTCCTAATCCTACTATTTTTTCTATGATTTTTATCTCTTCTGTTGCTCTGTCCACCCTAGATAAAATTTTCTTCTCTAAACATCCAAAAATTATTATGGACTTCTATCTGCAGTGTCTTTTTTACTAGTTTACTGTTGGTAACCAGTTCTTTCCAAATTGCCTAATTTCTGCATCTTGTTTGTCATTTCTGGTTTTGATTTCCAAACACACTTTCTTAATCGTCTCTTTCTCTTTTACAACTTGCGCATACATCTCTTTTATTTCTTCTTTATACATTTCTAGTTCTTTATTAACCTCCTCTATGTGAGTTGTCAATGAAGTTTCCAGTTGCAGATCCTTACCTAACTCCATGTTAGCCCTCAGGGTCCCTTGGAGTTGTTCCACCATATGAGTTTATTTTCTTGTTTATTTCTTCAAAGTCATCACTCTTCACTTTCCATACCTCATTTTCTTTCACTAGTTCCTTGATTTGTTCCTCCTGATTTGTTACCTTATCCATTAATGCAGTAATAATCTTACCTTGCTGAAGAATACTTCCTTTTAGAATGCACAGCTCACTCCTGAGAGCTCCATTGTCCTCTTCCAATTTAAGCTCTTTTTCTTCATACTTCTTTTGCATATCCTCAATTATCTCAAACCTGCCAAGAACACCGCCTTTCCTTATATCTTGCGGTGAGAATCCTTTGAAACAATCATCTGTTGGTGCATTTACATTCCCTGTGGTGGTGGCGGCGTCCATCTTTGTTATTGACTATTCACAATAGTTTGTTCTAGAAAACAAACTTTTCCAACTCTGCTATTTTCACTCACTTTCACTTCTTCATTATATCTTATTTTCTTTTAACCCATTAACTGCGCAACGCGCCTGCAGGCCCAGGCTTCAGGTGCGCAACGCGCCTCCGGGTAATTGTATTTTTCACATTCCATTCAAAACTCCCGCGGCTACATGGGGTTCACATCGGCTTCCTCAGGCCTCTTGTAAACAGACGCCATCTTTAAAAAAAATTGTGGTCCACATTCCCGGGTGTGGGAGCCTCAGTAGTGAGTGAGCAACCAAGGCTGGCTCTCGCTGTATGAGCGCACAGCTCTGCTGTTCAGCATGTGACCACAGCTTCGCCTAATAATGTCATAATATATATATAACTTGTATTATTTAGCCATGATAGTATTATAGAAGAGCCTGAGTGTGATAATGACTGGGTACAATGTTCAAATAGCAGTGATTCAATGCTGTTCACGATGTTCACAGCGCTAGCCACAGCACCACAGCATTATTTCGTCCATATAGGAATCTTCAAACGACTTTTTAGATTCCTTTTCAAAATAAACTTGTGGTCAATTATTCATTTACAGGAATTAGTGACCAGGATTGTGGTTATAATTAGCGTTGTGTGTAGTACAGTATTGTGGAAGGAAAAATTTTGGTGAGAGAGGGAGAGAATTGAGGTACCCTCACTGTGTGGCAGCCACTCTTGTTTTGCTCACCACACTAGCTTCGTGGTTCGCTATGGGGAACACACATGTACATGGGTATATACAGTGTGTGTGTGTGTGTAGTGTAATAACAGCATCAGGAGTATGTTGAGATGAGCTATTTTGGTGAGGGAGGTGAGGTCGTAATCGTAGCATCGTCTGCTGTGTGATTTCCCATGCAGTGAATGATGGCCACTGTACTGTTTGGACACAATACAGGCTTACTTACATAGTTCTGGTAAATAAAACATGTAGATAGGTATATATAACATGTGTAAATTGTGTAATAAAAACAATAACAGTATGGTAAGAGGAGGAATGTTGGCGAGTAAGATGGAGTGAGGGAGGGCTGGCTGGGTGTGGCTGTTCACACTCGCGACGTTTTGAATGTGTTGATGGTAAATGTATATAGTGTGTGACAGTGTATAGGGTGTACATATGTTGTAAATTAACATAAATGAACATGAAACATTGGTGTGAATAACTGTATGATGGGAGGAGCAATGTTGGCGAATACAATGTTGGAACAGTGAGGGAGGGCTGGCTGGGTGTGGCTGCTCACACTCGCGGTGTTCTGAGTGTGTTGATGGTGAATGTATATAGTGTGTGACAGTGTATAGTCAGTAAATAGATTGTATATATACATAAATTAGCATGATACATGGTAAATATGTGCGACATATGTGTACACAAGTGTCATGCACGTAACACAGTGTCCTCGGACAGTACGATGTTTTACTGCCATAATATAGTGTACATGTTCATTACACATAGGCTTAGCACGTAAAAACAAATATAATGTATTTGGAAATGTGCGCAAAAAATGAACAAAAATATATTCGCGGCAAATCGCGCGCCCCACCCGGGACGGCCTACTGGCCCCGGGAGCATACGTCACGGGCGAACGGGGAATGACGACGTCACGCGCCAACTTACGGACCCCATAGCAGCAGCATAGCAGCATACAAGTTCAAATTTTTTTTGACATACCCATACTGAGGGAAGGGTTTTTGACACTTTAAAAAAACAAAAGAATTTTTTCAAGATAATTTATTTCTTGCTCACTGGGGGGGGGGGCGGTGTCATATTTGTAGGCTGCGCAGTTAAAGGGTTAAACTTCCCTCAACCTTTTTGTAACCTGGGACACCAGTGTAGCCCTCAACCTGTTCCCACTACTTAGATAATTCGATATTCCAGGAGCTTGCTGCAGTGTGACTCCTGCCTCATCCAGGAAGTGTGCGTGTGTGGAGTAATAACCTAAGTGTAATGACCTAAGTGTAGTTACAGGATGAGAGCTACGCTCCTGGTGTCCCACCTTCCCAGCATTCTTTGTCATATAATGCTTCCCAGTGCTTTTTGTCATATAACGCTGCCCAGCACTCTGTCATATAACGCATTGACACTACTGACAGTCTTGGCCTCCACCACCTTCTCACCTAACTTGTTCCAGCAGTCTACCACTCTGTTTGCAAAAGTGTGTAATACAGTGTGTTACTATGTAAATAGTGTGTGAAATTGTACATACTGTAATTTTAGTGAATTTTGAACAAGTAATATTGTGATGATAAACATTTATTGTGGACACATTACTGACACATGTATCACAGTTCCAGGGAACATCATGAATGTTCTACTGTATGCATACTATAAATTACACAAATATGCATCATAAATGATAACAAAAAAATAAATAAAGCCACATTGAAAATACATAGAACAAATAATTGAAAATATATTTGTGGTAACTCGCGGCGCTTGAATGGCCCATGCGACTTGCTCTGGGCTCTTCATGCACGGGTGCACAGCAAACACGCTCCCTTCTCCACATCCCCATAGCCAAAGTAAGTGGAATTTTTTAGTTTTTTTTACATGTAGATGTTCAATGAAAGGAATTTATCCTTTTACAAAGATGAAAAAAAAAATTGTGAACACTTGATTTTATGCGCACATGGGGAATCTCACAATAAACTTGGCGCATCACAGTGGTTATGACTGTGATGCGCCAAGCAATTGATTGGCTGAATCAATTGCTGTCACTTTACACACCCAAAGTGTGCTCTCTTTTTCACTATCTCCATCCATCTTCTATCTATTTCTCCCCCTCCCTCCAGTTCCTCCATCTTGTCTTGCCTTCAATTGTAAATTACAACTTAAAATTTTAAGATTTTGTGTTGATTGTTTAATTAAACTTTAATGAATATATCAAGTGCTGTGAGCTCATTTTCTGACTATTTTGTGGTGCAGATCTTAACTGAATTCTTTGATGGGAATATAAATGTAAATTTTAAGGAAGCTGTGGTATTCTCTGGTCAAGTTGCAGAATTGCAGTTGGACATTACTAACCTAACAGTGGATAAAAAATAAAAAAACATTAAGTCATTATAGACATGGAATTATTTTAAAATTAGATAATGAAATTGAATATCTAGCAGAAGGATAAGACTAAAAACATTGTTTTGGTGTAATCATACATTTACTTGTAATTATTTTAAGCTATGTTTTCTAGATGGAACGAGATGACCGTTCAACTGAAGTGGACATTATGAAAGAAAAGCTTGAAAAGGCCCAAGCACAAGTCACAAGAGCTCAAGATGAAAAGGATGTGGCTAACAGGGAGTTTGAAAGAGCATTAGAAAAGTTTGATAAGTAAGTTTAAAGGCATATGTTGTGATTTTATTTCCTCTTCTAGAAAGCTCCCTTGGTGGCTCACTTTTGCCAGCCACCTGGTTAGCCCCACCTAATTCAAGTCACACGAAGTCCTTGCAAGTCAATGAAAGCCTACCTGAGACTGAGGCCAAAATCTGGTATCCTCATAGAGATGCTGGGAACAGGTAATGCTAGATTATTCTCACAAAGAAATCAACCACCAGAAAGGTAGAGCAAGATAAAACAGACAACAGCAAGATAAATCTCAGCAACTCAGAAATCAAGACACACACAGTAGTCAGATAGTTTACTCACTAGTTACTCCTCTCCATTGTGAGGTGGTTGGTGACCTGCATGGTCACCATCCATGCAGGACATCACATCCTTGCAAGCTTCATCCATGCAAACATCTGAATGGAATTTTAAACAGAGTTGTTATGGTCTCTGCCTTTATCAGATATGTTAGATGCATGCTGGCAACTACCTTAGGCTTCTTATTTAACCCCTAAGCTGCTATTTGGCTTTCAACACCCACAGGCACCAAAAAAAAAAAAAAAAAAAAATTGTTGTATGAAAGTGTTCATTTGTGTTTCCTGATCATGGTAAAAAATAATAACAATTGTAAGCGGCATATTTTGGCCGCAATAGGGTGAGGAAGTCTGTCAAAAAGGGGCATGACAGCAAGCGCCAGAGGAGGTCTGCTCCGCCCCAGCTGTCAGGCGGGAGTTGCCACAAAGATATCACTACCTAATTATTTCAATGTCTGATTTTTTCTTGGTTGTTTTTGCAGTAATATTGTTTAATAATGTGTAGTGTGATATATTTATATAACAAAATGTGTGAATCATCGCTATACTCAAAATTATGGTGTGCATATTAGTGATTCATTTATTATGTTCATAAAACAATAAACAAATACTTTGCGATTATTACACTATATATGCAGGTTATATATAAGTATCTGCATGTTTTGTTCACTATAACAAACCACTAAGTTGATATGGTGAGTCAAAAAGCAATGAGTGGCAGCTACATCAGCCAGCCAGCCAGCCACTTGCCACCATTCCCTCACTCGCCAACATCCTCTTCCCACCATACTGTTTTTGCTTTTATTCACTATACAGTGGTACCTCAGCTTACGAATTTAATCCATTTCCTGAGACGGTTTGTAAGCCAAAAATTTGTAAATCGAAGCGAATTTTCCCATAAAAATAATGTAAATTGAATTAATCCGTTCCACACTCCCCAAAAAATTAATTTCAAAGTAAATTTTATGCCTAATTCACTAAAGTCTTCAGTACTAAAGTATGTACAAGTATGTACTTACCTTTATTGATGACTCTTGTTGGTGTATGGAAGATGGTGAGGAGGGTGGGGGGGGGGAGAAGAGAAGAGGTGGTAGTGTTTGGAAGGGAAGTTCCCCTTCCATTATAACATCAGGCAGTGATAACTTCTCTGGATGGTACCTTCTCTAGCTCAATGGTATCATGGATACTTCTTCCGAGTCCACTCTCACCTTGTACGAAGTTGAAGGTTTCTCATCGCCCCTGCCTGAGGGTGACGATCATCCGTACTGCCTCCGTCGTGCTGCCTGTTGGGTCGGTGACACCTACGACCCGGAGTCTTGCGGGACTTGTTCCCTGCTTGTGCTTCAATTTATTCATTCCCTCTGTCTGATGATCTCAGGATTCAGGCAGTGGCTGCATTGCATGCCCATTACATGCTCGATTAGAGGCCCCAGAGCTTCCTTTCTTGGGTTATAGGAATAAGGATTTCGGACATTGGTTGCTTTGACTTTGGTTCCGTCTGCGCCTCCACTTCTTTTCCTGGTGGGCGTAGTTTTTTCTGCTTTTTTCCCCCTTGCTTCTGACTCCTAAATATCTGAGGGTTTCTGAGTTGGGGCGGGGTTTAGCTCGGGTTGAGGCTTGGGTGGCTTTGAGGGCTGCTCCTTCCACTTCGGGTGTGGAGGTAGTTGAGCCCGATTTTCCCGCCAAGGCTTCAGGGTCAACCCAGCCCACTCCTTTCTCAAAAGCTTTTCTTCTAGACTCTGCTTTTTCTTCAGGGGTGTGGGCTTTTCTCTGGGATCTGTGTCGGGGGTTCCCGGGGCTCAGGGAAAGTCCGCTTGGAGCACTTGGGCCCGTGTGCAAGAATTTCTGCTACAAGGGAGAGTTTTTTATTTTTGGGTGTGCTCTGGTTGGCATCCCGGGCTTTTTGCCCTTTTATATATATATATATATATATATATATATATATATATATATATATATATATATATATATATATATATATATATATATATATATATATATATATATATATATATATATATAAATGTATGTATGTATATATATATATATATATATATGTATATATATATATATATATATATATATATATATATATATATATATATATATATATATATATATATATATATATATATATATATATGTATATATATATATATATATATATGTATATATATATATATATATATATATATATATATATATATATATATGTCGTACCTAGTAGCCAGAACGCACTTCTCGGCCTACTATACAAGGCCCGATTTGCCTAATAAGCCAAGTTTTCCTGAATTAATATATTTTCTCTAATTTTTTTCTTATCAAATGATAAAGCTACCCATTTCATTATGTACGAGGTCAATTTTTTTTTATTGGAGTTAAAATTAACGTAGATATATGACTGAACCTAACCAACCCTACCTAACCTAACCTAACCTATTTTTATAGGTTAGATTAGGTTAGGTAGCCGAAAAAGTTAGGTTAGGTTAGGTTTGGTAGGTTAGGTAGTCGAAAAAACATTAATTCATGAAAACTTGGCTTATTTGGCAAATCGGGCCTCGCATAGTAGGCTGAGAAGTGCGTTCTGGCTACTAGGTACGACATATATATATATATATATATATATATATATATATATATATATATATATATATATATATATATATATATATGTATATATATATATATGTATATATATATATATATATATATATATATATATATATATATATATATGTATGTATGTATGTATGTATGTATGTATGTATGTATGTATGTTCAGTATATATATATATATATATATACAGTGGCACCTCGACTTACGATTGCCCTTACTTACGATAATTTCGAGTTACGATATAAATTTGATCGAAAAATGAAACTCGACATCTGATGGTGTCGTCGACTTCCGATATTTGTTGGTACACGTTCAGGTCGACCGAACGCGTGGTTCCCGGTCACGCGGCCCGACCTGCCTCAGTTTACTACAGCTGCCTGCTTAGTGACGATCACGCCTATGAGAAATTCCGCGTTTGTGGTGATTTTTTGCATTTTGAACATTAAAGTAATTATTATATATCACGCCATGAGTACCAGGAAAGTCAGTGGTAAGGCTCAACATATGAAAACCCATGTAAGGATGACCATAGAGCAGAAACAAGAGTACAGAATGTCTCTTCCTCAATAATTAAGAAAATGTGTGCAGCATGGGAAGAATTGCAAACCTTTGCTGAAACGACTCGCCCAAATCAAGCTGCAGTAGGCCGTTGCCTTAACCTATTCAATGACACTGTGATGCATCATTACAAACAAATGTTAATACGAAGGGAAAAACAAATGTCTCTTGACAAATTTGTAGCGAGACAAACAAGCACTGAACCACAACCAGGTGCTAGTGGTATGCAGGCAAAACGTGCCAGGGAGTGCACACCAGAAAGGTCCTCACTGCCTGATGTTTTAATGGAAGGGGACTTCCTTTCCAAACAGTAACAACTCTTCTCCTTCCCCCTCATCACCATCTTCCATACACCATCAAGAGCCCTCCATAAAGGTAAGATAAACTTAGGAACTGTATTGTAGTTAGAAAAAAACATTGTATTCAGTATAAAATGTATTTGTATGTTAATATTTTGGAAGGTGGGGAACGGATTAATTCAATACCCTTTATTTCTTATGGGAAAAATCGCTTCGACTTACGATATTTCCAGTTACGATCCGTCTCTGGGATCGGATTAGCATCGTAAGTCGAGGCTCCTTTGTATATGTATACAGTGGCACCTCAACTTACGATTGCCCCTACTTACGATAATTTCGAGTTACGATGTAAATTTCATCGAAAAATGCGACTCGACATCCGATGGTGTCGTCGACTTACGATATTTGTTGGTACACGTTTGGGTCAACCGAGCGCGTGGTTCCCGGTCATGCGAACCTGCCTCAGTTTACTACAGCTGCCCGCTTAGTGATGATCGCGCCTATAAGAAATTTCGCTTTTGTGGTGATTTTCTGTGGGGAGCCTCTACGGCTCCCTAGAGTTTATCGAGCTAATGTATGTTATATTACATCAGGACATTAGCTAAGGAGTTCAGACCTACCAGGGACCAGCACCAGAACCTGGCCCCTTCAGAGAGGTTTCAGGGAGCAATGGCCCTGGAAAACCCCCTTATGGTTGGGGTTTTCCTAATCTGCCATCGACCGGGGTTAGGCACCCAGAAAGATAGGCATAACAAAACAAACCCCACATGGTAAAAAACTAAAACAAAAAACCGAACAGAGAGGTAGAAACTCCCTACAATACTCCCTACAGGAAACAAGCAAGCATCACACTTTACTGCCGCGCCGATCGTCCGCACAGCCCTCCCCGCCCTGAGAGGGAGGGGGGGGGAGCCCCGGACCTACCGCGCCAGCTGCCAAGCTTCAGTTCGTAAGCTAATGTCAATCGGGATAGACGCTTCTCTGGCCTCAGTTTCCTAGGCGGTGTTTGCCTTGTGTGGCATTCACTGCCGTGTGTTGTGTTGTGCGGTGGCCAGAAGTACCTCATCAGTGACCGGGCTGCATGCGCTTAGTGGCTGACTTCCCTAAGTGCCCTGTGAGTACTGCCCTTGCGTGACAGGGTTATCTTCCCTGGGGCATTCGGGAACCATTCCCGTAGAGGTTCTTGCTGCTCAGCTTTTGCCTCGCCCTTGGGGTCAG